CCTAGTGTAGTTTGCGGACCCTAACAATCGCAGTAATCTGTCGTTGGGAAATAAACCATTGAACTAGTGCCTTATTAGTCAAGCTCAAAAGCAGATTACATCGAAAAGCGCCGATCTGCAAAAGATCTGCCAAAGATCCACACATAGAATTTGATGGATAGGTGAAATCCTTTTAGCAAAACTCTCCTATGAATCGAGCATACGTGGCCAGTGACTAAATGGGAAACGATTTGTTGCCTCTTTAGACTTGAGCAACTTGATTATTGGTTGTTGCGTAAACACAACTGAAGTGTTTGATTGTCTGACAGTGTTCCAAACCAGTTCCAGTGGAGCCTGGAAACTTGGTACAGCTGGACGAAAATTGACGTTCACCCAACTTTTCGTACTACCCGAAAATGACTGATTTTCGGCGCTGGATCAGAGACTCAACAAACTGAGTCCTGTAGAGGACTCATGGAGTCATAACTCCAAGATCAGAAACGATCATTTCGAGAGCAGTTATAATCATTTCAAGAACAGAAATATCAATCAGGCTACTGCTAAACACGTTTCATCGGTTGATTTCAACCATACAGATCAAACCACTGAGATGAAATAAAAATCGCTCCCTCTGAGTAGGGTACATGCGCCATATTCGCATTGGACTAAGGAGACTAGTGAGACCAAAACCAACACATGTCTATAAAACCAAGCCGGTAAAGCTGCATGAGCTCAATGCGGCTGTTTACTGGCCAAACAGAAGACAGAACAAAACAAGAAGGTACACTCTTGCTAGGCTCAGCATCGATATACTCATAGCCGTAACGAATATTCGTCCACATAGATTAACATCATACGGCCTTTTTGGGGTAAAACAGTGACACTCTGCATGCGTGCTTAATCTCTTTTGACTGATTCGATTGGCGTACCGAGCGTGTTTAGTGGTGGTAATGCGAATTTGGTGCGTACTTTGCTTTTTCATCGTTGAAGCAGTTCCGCTAACCCAATGTAATGGCAAGTAGTCGTTTGCACGATGACGTTTGAGATAACAGGACATATTGTTTAATCGAGCCCATCTGACTCGTCCTGTAACACATGGGTGCACAATCAAGGAAATTCGGTTAAATATTGCAAGAATATTGTTTAAAGCAGAAACGTTGCTTGGATAATTTCCTTGCTCGGTGCCCCTAAACTGCCAGTCTAATGGAAGTAAGTTTTGTGT